TCTAACTGTTGTTACAGAGATCCTAATGGGAGATGATATTTAAGTTGGATTTGCTCAGTCAACCTAGGGCATACAAGCAGTATGTCAGTAAGACTTAAAACAGATCAGGGACTTCACAACCACCCTGACCCTCATATTTCTATTTTAGGCACTGGATGGGAAAATCATTCTCTGATTTGGTACCACGGGTAGAGCAGCATTTTACAGGGAAGTCTTGAGTTTGGTTAGGGCCATATTGAATTTGAGATGCTTGTTGAGTGCTTGACGAAGCTGGGTGTATAGTTTTTGAGCCTGGAGAAGGGAGTATCGAGCTGGAAATGCAGATTCGGTGGCATCATGTATTTTAGGTGGTCATTAAATTTGTTAGCATCTTTTAGTTGCTCTAGAGAATATAGAGAAGCAAAAACAAAGCCAGCCCCTTTTGACTATTGGGTACATATCAGAGATCTGCACTCTACCTGCCAATTGGAAAAACAAGTGATTATAATTCACCTGAGAATCCAAGAGACCTAGATTTTGATCCTTGCTCTACCACTTGACTGCATGACCTGAAGCAAGTCACTTATTTCCCTAAACTCATCTCATCTTTCAAAGGGGGAACAATAAGGCAATTTCATGGGGTTTTGTGAGAATTGCATTTTAAAATATTGGTGTGCCTGACATAAGCCAAGTCCCCAACAAACATAATATATTTAGTATTGTTGTTCTTACTAAAATTAATGCCATCTTACTTGGCCTTCATAATAAACTTGCTGTTTTTCATATAACTGCAAGTGTTGAGACTCACCTAAGGCTTCAAGTTGACAGGTGGGATGACCCAGAATCAGAATCCAGGTGTTCTGATTTATTTCCAGGGCTCTTACCATAAAACTGCTGTGTAGTAGTTTCTTACATGAATTTGAAATGTGGTCTTAGTTATTTATATTCTCTGTTATTATTGTTAAAGACAAACCAAGTAACCCCAGACATGACTTCAAAGCAACTGTACAATCAAATTTCCAAATTTCAATACATGTGGCCTCTCACTTTGCCAAGATAGATAGTGCTGTTGAAGTAACATCTGTCTATCAACAGATGTGATTACCCACTGCTTTGAGACAACTGCAAATAATAAATCTCATGTGTCAAAATATCAACCAGGAACTACAAAAATGTCCTTCTCCACTCACTTTGGATAGGCAACCTATATTTACCTTTAAATATCTTGCTAAAACTGAAGGTCTTGATATATAAATATAGTGGAAAAAAAAGTGCCACCCACCACCCACCAATTTCAAAGGCTAGTTGTGAGTGATTAAAAGAGCTTTATGTCTCTGTAAAGAGTTATGGGAACATAATTAGCATTCTAACTGCTGCCTTCTGTTTCTTTTCGTGTCTTGACAGTTCTTGTCATAACTCCCTTAGCTGGTGCCTTAGTAGAAATAGTAAGCAGAATTCAGCTTTAAAATCATCCAGCTCCCCTATTTAAACCTGCAGGCAATTTGTTCTGATGGAATTTTATTTATTTAGCACACATTTATTGGTTCTTTGTTATCTACCAGATACCTTTGTTATGGGCCAGGCTATATGAGCAATGACCAAACAAGACTCCATTTTGCCCTGAGACTCCACGTCATGTAAGAAATGCTTCTCATATGGAAAGCCCGGCCTCTGTACCCATCAACAGTTGCTTAGCAGAGCATGCTTGGCAACACAAAATGGCAATGCTTGTATGGAGATTTCTTGGAAAGCTGGGAATGGAGCCACCATTTGACCCAGCTATTCCCCTTCTCGGTCTATTCCCTAAAGACCTAAAAAGAGCATGCTACAGGGACACTGCTACATCGATGCTCATAGCAGCACAATTCACAATAGCAAGACTGTGGAACCAACCTAGATGCCCTTCAATAGATGAATGGATAAAAAAAATGTGGCATTTATACACAATGGAGTATTACTCTGCATTAAAAAATGACAAAATCATAGAATTTACAGGGAAATGGATGGCATTAGAGCAGATTATGCTAAGTGAAGCTAGCCAATCCCTAAAAAACAAATGCCAAATGTCTTCTTTGATATAAGGAGAGTAACTAAGAACAGAGTAGGGTCGAAGAGCATGAGAAGAAGATTAACATTAAACAGGGATGAGAGGTGGGAGGGAAAGGGAGAGAGAAGGGAAATTGCATGGAAATGGAAGGAGACCCTCAGAGTTATACAAAAGTACATACAAGAGGAAGTGAGGGGAAGGGAAAAATAATACAAGGGGGACAAATGAATGTCAGTAGAGGGGGCAGAGAGAGAAGAGGGGAGGGGACTGGAGGGGAGGGGGGATAGTAGAGGATAGGAAAGGCAGCAGAACACAACAGACACTAGTATGGCATTATGTAAATCAATGAATGTGTAACTGATGTGATTCTGCAATCTGTATATGGGGTAAAAATGGGAGCTCATAACCCACTTGAATCAAAGTGTGAAATATGATATATCAAGAACTATGTAATGTTTTGAACAGCCAACAATAAAAAATTAAAAAAAAAATGGCAATGCTTATACAATGTAAAAGTGCTCTTTCTTTGGTTCCCATTTTTCTTGGACAATGTACCTTGTCAGAGATTGATTGTTTAGATGTTAGTAATCATTCTTTAACTTGTACACAACAAGGGACATTTCGGCCCACTCCCTTCTCTGCTTCTGATTTTAGATCTCATGACGTTTGTTTACGGTTTTGAATGACAGCAACAGCCACTTATGCTGTAATATGGTTTGGACTATAAAAGGTGTACTCAATCCCCAGGAGGGGGTGGAAGAGTGTAGACTTGCAGCCTGCCCCTTGGCCTGCCAGCGGGTGGACCTGGACCACAGGCTGGTGAATAAAGTTTCCGCCTCCTGCTTTAAGATCGACTCGGTGATTTATTCAATCTCACCTTTGCACTGTTAGAAAGTGAGGGACCCAGAACTGAAAAAATGTGATCCCTTTCTTTAGTGAGTTCATAGTCTAATACACATACTCTGCAGGGAGATAAATGCAATAGTTTTCTAGTCAATGAATGTCAAAGTTACATGTTGACATTAGCCTAGGCATTCTTCAAAAAAGAGGTAAAATTTGAGTGTGATGTTAGAGGTATGGAATTCTTAAATGTCATTATATTGAACCTTTTGTGACTTATGCATTTCAAGGTATGTAAGTCTTCCATAAATATAAAGAGATTGAACTTTATTTAGTAGTTTTCCTTTTCCATGGGTACAAGTTGGCAATTCTGATATATCCTTCTATGAAGCCTAGAGTTAATTAAAATTTATATATATATATATACATATATATATATATATATATATATATATATATATAGAGAGAGAGAGAGAGAGAGAGATACACATATAAAATAATGAGATTATATATAAATTATAAAATATATATATGAGCTAATGAGAGACTGAGAAACAGGCTTCACACTATTGAGAAGGGGGTCACATATGAAAATGTGTCAAGTGGCAGTATACCTTGTGGTATTTGATTGTAATATGCAATGTTAATATAAACTAAAGGCTTTAAATAGTAGAATGTACTCTAATTCTTTAAATTTAATTTTCCAGAAAACCAAAAACACAATTTCCATTATCACATAAACTACAAACTCCACTTAAAACTGTAAAATTGTAACTTTTTAAAAAGCCCATCAGAGAAATAACTTTGCTTCAGAGCCTGGAATTTAAAGAAGAGCCATTGTAAGGAATCAAGCACTGAACTCCTTGAGGCAATGCACAAAAGAAGGAGAAGTTAGAGGCCAGACAAGCAGACTGAGAAGAAAGTTTGGAGCAGACAAGATATTTGAATAAATAATAAAAAGAATGAAAGACTTCAAATATGTGCCCAAGAAGTACTGAGAACCCAAGCAGGATAAATGTAAGAAAAGAAATTCTACCTACACAAATAATACTCAAACTGTTGGAAACCAAACAAAGAGAAAATTTTGAAGGGAGCCCAAATAAGAATTCTGGTGGGTTCCTTATTTGAATGGATGCAACCCAGAAGACAATAGAGTAACATCCTTAAAGCCTTGGAAGAAAAAAAAAAACTATCAACCTATAATTCTGTATCTTTCAAAAATAAAGTCAAACAAATATTGTTTTAAACATAAATAAAGAGTGAATTATCAGCAGACCAGTGCTAAAAACTAAATAAGTAATTTAGCAGAAAGAATGTACTAGAAACTCAGCAATACCTAAAGAAATGAAGATTATGGAAGTGCTAAAAAAAAAAAGGTGAATATAAGTGACATGATTAATTTAATAATTGCTGTAAAGGATCACTAAATGGCTACAGTGAAAGTAGCAGCCAGGTGTTTGCAGAATATTTAAAATTAAAATTTAATATTTAAAATTTTAAATTAAAATTTGTGAAGACAGTAGCGCAAAGGATGGGAAGGAGGACTTGTGAGTATATAGTTGTGAGTTGTGAGACCCTTAACTGCCTGTGGAGTAGTTTAAGGTGGATTGTCAATAATTAAATATACATACATATTAGCCATCTTTGGGCAATCATTAAAAAGTTATAATAGGAATATAAAAAATAAGCAATTGTAGAAATGCAAGAGGATCAAAAAAATACTTCATTAAACCAGGATTGGTGGCACAGGCCTATAATCCCAGCAGCTTGGGAGGTGAGGCAGGAGGATCATGAGTTCAAAGCCAGCCTCCCCAAAAGTGAGGCGCTAAGCAACTCAGTTAGACGCTGTCTCTAAATAAGATACAAAACAGGGGTGGGGATGTGGCTCAGTGCTTGAGTGCCCCTGAGTTCAGTACCAAGTATCTTTCTCTACCAATAATAATAATAATAATAATAATAATAATAATTCATTAGTGTAAAAACATAAGTAATGGGGGAGAGGAACCAAGACTAAAGAGAATAAATATAAAACAAATAGCAGGAGGGTAGATTTAAATATAACCATATCAATAATTGCATAAAATTACCACATTAAAATTCAAAGATAGTCAGATTTTTTTAGGAAGCAAGACAAATACTTACTTGGTGGGGGATAACATGATCATGAAGGTGGTTTATTCAAAGCAAGACTTGTCCATTGCACCTCAGGTGTACTAATCCTTGCAATTTTTTCACTTGTGGGCAACAAGCCCAGAATTTGTGCTGTTGAGAATCATGCATTCATGCTTTCTCTCAAGATCAAAAAATAAATAAATAAATAAATAAAAAGTGAGGTCTTATGCCGTCTGCAAAATAAGTCTTTTATAAATACAAAGGCAAAAATATGCTTAAAGTGATAAAAAGGATATAGCATAATGAAAAAAAAAACAACAAGATCTGTGTACTTTTCACTCTTAATCAGCTTTTTACCAGTCCTTAGCTAGTGCAATAAGGCAAGAAAAAGAAAATGGCATACAGATTGGGAAGAAAGCACTTACAAATGGCATTGTTTACATAGAAAATTCCATAGAATCTATAAAAAATTGATACCAAAACAAGTATATACTGTGATGATTCACTCCATCCTTCTCCAGAGAAACCAATAGCCATTTACTTAAATGATGCCCGCTTGAGCAAGGGGAAGGTCCACTGCACACAGGCTTTGAATTGACTTTGGTATCTAGAGACCCAAAGCATCATGGAATCCTTGTTAGACTAGAGGATTATAGGAGTCGGGAAATGAAAAGGTTTCTGGCTAAAGTCTGATACACACTGGGCCCACTAAATTTATGGACTCATTCAGGGGCCATTGCCCCATTTTTTGTATAATGGGTTTGGATATAATTGCAGTGACAATTGGAGTGATCCCACTTCCCCGCATTGCTTTCTTGGTCTGTGAGTCCAGTGCTATCGCAGTAGCACTGTGAAGGTGAAACTTTTGAAATTGCCTTCTTACCAAGATAATCAACACAAAACAGAGATTGGTGTTCCCTATCTTATCCTTTTTTTAATAGCTAATCTCCACTACAGGAACTGGATGGACCATAGAGAATGACCGTGAACTACTACAAGTCCAACCAAGTGTTGGTCTTGATTGTAGCTGCCATGCCAGCAGCAGGACCATTGTTAGAGCACATTCCTAAGATTTCAGGTGTGTGTTGTGCTCCATATATACTGTGTACGGTACCTACATCATGGGTGCAGCCTTTCCTGTTCAGATTAGAAGAAAAGATCAGTTTGCATTCGTGTGGCACAGACTATAATAATCATTTCCTGTTTTTCTTCAGAGCTTTGCTAATGGAGCCACCCCCTGTCATAAAGAGTCTGAAGTGATCTGGACCATCTGAACCCAGTGAACCTCACACTCATCCATTGCCTCAGTGACGTCATCAAGTTCATGGTCCAGGAGAAACAAGAGGAAGCTTGTGTGCTAGAAGCCTTGGTAAAACACATGTGCTCCAGAGAGGAGAAGATAAACTGTGAAGATGAGAGACCTGGAATGCAGTGGCCAGGTTCATGCTGAGATGCCCAACTCAAAGCCAAAGGTAGTTATTGCAAACCTCTCTTTGAGTTCTGGAAGCAACCCATGCCACCCCTTAAAATGCTATTCTAGTCCATGATTAGATAACATGCTGGCTGCCAGCTTTGCATGGTACCTTAAACACTAACGGGCTCTGTAGGAAATGTAGGTCATAAGACAGGTCCACAACCATGAGAGGTGAGAGAGAAGGAGGGAAGATTCATTGGGAAGAGCCTGAAAGTTTAGTACTGGTTTAGCATTTGGTCTTTTGGGATTGACTAACTTCACTTAGCATTGTATTCTCCAACTCCATCCATTTACCTGCAAATGCCATGATTTTATTCTCTTTTTTATTTGTAATTAATTTTTAAATTTATATATGATGGTGGAATGCATTACAATTCTTATTACAAATATAGAGCACAATTTTTCATATCTCTGGTTGTATACAAAGTACATCCACACCAATTTGTGTCTTCATGCATGTACTTTGGATAATGATGTCCATAATATTCCACCACCATTTCTAACTCCATGCCCCCCTTCTTTCCCCTCCCACCCATCTGCCCTATCTAGAGTTCATCTATTCCTCTCATGTTCCCCCTCCCTACCCCACTATGAATCAGCCTCCTTATATCAGAGAAAACATTCGACATTTGGGATTGGCTAACTTCACTTAGCATTATCTTCTCTAACTCCATCCATTTACCTGCAAATGCCATGATTTTATTCTCTTTTATTGCTGAGTAATATTCCATTGTATATATATGCCACCTTTTTTTATCCATTCATCTATTGAAGGGCATCTAGGTTGGTTCCACAGTTTAGCTATTGTGAATTGTGCTGCTATAAAGATTGATGTGGCTGTGTCCCTGTAGTATGATGCTTTTAAGTCCCTTTGGGAATAGATCAAGGAGTGGGATAGTTCCGTCAAATGGTGGTTCCATTACCAGTTTTCCAAGGATTCTCCACACTGCTTTCTATATTGGCTCCCTCAGTTTGCAGTCCCACCAACAGTGTTTGAATGTACCTTTTTCCCCACATCTTCACCAACACTTATTGTTGTTTGTCTTCATAATAGCTGCCATTCTGACTGGAGTGAGATGAAATCTTAGAGTAGTTTTGATTTGCATTTCTCTAATTGCTAGAGATGTTGAACCTTTTTTTATATATTTATTGATCGATTATATATCTTCTTCTGAGAAGTGTCAAAAAAACTAGGGATAACAGGAACATATCTCAACATCATAAAAGCTATCTATGCTAAGCCCCAGGCCAACATCATTCCAAATGGAGAAAAACTGAAAGCATTCCTTCTAAAAACTGGAATAAGACAGGGATGCCCTCTTTCACCACTTCTATTTAACATAGTTCTTGAAACATTGGCCAGAGCAATTAGACAGACAAAAGAAATTAAAGGAATACACAGAGGAAAGGAAGGACTCAAACTGGCACTATTTGCTGATGATATGATTCTATACCTAGAAGACCCTAAAAAATTCCACCAGAAAACTTCTAGAAGTAGTAAATGAATTCAGCAAAGTAGCAGGGTATAAAATCAACATCCCCAAATCAAAGGCATTTCTGTATACCAGCGATAAATCCTCTGAAAGAGAAACGAGGAAAACTACCCCATTTACAATAGCCTCAAAAAATAAAAAATAAAAAATAAAAAATAAATAAAATACTTGGGAATCAACAAAAGAAGTGAAAGATCTCTACAATGAAAACTACAGAATGCTAAAGAAAGAAATTAAAGAAGACCTCAGAAGACAGAAAGATCTACCTTGTTCTTGGATAGTCTTTCCTTCTTAGAAGTTGATTTTCTCAGGTATTTTATCACAGTGACTAATGATAGGGTGCTATCATTAGGTAGAAGACAGAGATGCCACTAAATAACCTACAATGCACAGAGTAGGCTTCTTGACAAAGAATCATCTGGCCTGGAATGTCAATAATACTAAGGCTGAAAATCCTGTATTGATGACACTTTAGATACTTTATTAGACAATGCTCTAATATGATATAGAAAGGGAATTTAAAGAAGAGTTTTAATTTCCCTTGATCTCCTTCACTTAAATGTAAAAGTGTTCTAATTATAGTAGAAACTTCATTTAGTTTTGTGGAGAATTAAATAAAACAATTGTGGTTGATTGTATTTTTATGAAGATCGCCCACCCAAACAGATATCCCATCTACATCTTTCTCCTCCTATGTGCCACTGACATTTCTGTCTTAAGGGTGGGGTTATGTTCCCTTTCTGTGACCTTGGGTGGCTCTCCATACCTGGCCATGACAGCAGATCATAGCTGAAGTGACAGCTCATGATTTCTGAGACTGGGTCACAAAAAGCAAGACAGTTTCCTCCTGGCTCACCTGAGGAAGAAGTCTGGCTACCCCAGACTTGTTCCTTAAATAGCAGTGGTACCTATCTTACAAAGGGACCCATACAGGAGGAGGCGCTGGCTGTTCCTACCCCAGCTTGTCCAATATTACCAGTTCAACCACCAGGCAGGGAGACCCAAGGCTTGGAGATAATCCAGGCACCATCTGTCTGCAACCTCATCACAAAGAAACACCATCTAGAACAACCCAACTGAACCACCCCAAGGTCCCTGGCCCACAGACACCACGGGTGATAACAAATGATATTGTGTTTTAAAAACCTACATTTGGGGATGATTTGTTGCACAGCAATGGACACTAAAACAAAAATATACATGGTCCTTAGGACAAGTCTGACAAGTTTCTTCAACAGTCTCTATTTGGGGGTGTTTTAGTACTTTGTAAGTTTTATATTTTGAAATAGTGTTTGAAACTAATATTTAGTATTTTGAACTTAGGAATTTAGTTAGTATTCAGTACTATGTTTGTATACCCTAGAGGGCAAACCGTGCATACATAGAGAGCCATCTCTGTATGTGGAGGTGTAGTTTTCCAATGGCAACACCAGGCGGAGCCAGATCCTAATTTATCTCCGTACCTTTCAGAAGGTCACTTTGACAGATAAGATTTCAGAACCAAATGCTAGCATACATAAGGATGATGTTTTAGGAATGCTCCAATAAATTCCCAAACACCAGAAAGGTTTTTATGCATCAGAAAGGTGTATTCTGATGGATAAATCTGCCCCAGGCTGGGTGTGCAGGTAAGAGACAAGAAAATCCTTTTCCCCCCTCCATTTTAAACGAAGTAGAGCAGGTTATATTTTCTTTAATCCTTGAAAAGGAGAAGGGATCTGTAAACCTGTAATTTCTAAACAATGCTGTACTTAATCTTTGCCCTGTCTACAGACATGGCAGATGCAATCTGTGTTGCAGCTGGCTTTTCACAGTGTGAGAACTCTGCATATTCATATTTATATTCACATTTATTTATATTATATTTATGTATTATGATAATATTGATCCTATCAGTAGAATCCCAGATAACACTCATAATCATCTTGATAGAATCCAACATAACATTCATCCTACCATTCGAGCTTAAAAGTATTTTAAGTTTCCATTTTTTCTCGTTCTGTTCTTTGTTTTGTGTACACAGGGATTTAATGGTCCAGTGACTGGGAAAATGGTCCATAATTCCGATGGCAGGAAATCTGGGAACCAAACTGCTTACAATGAATTAATTGCATGAACAAAACACATGGTAAGTCTCCACTTTTCGAACAGATTCAAAGCAGACTTTACCCATAATCCTGTGCGGTAACCTGAGGAGGCTGGCCAGCTGCACTTAGGATGACAGGCAGCCAGCCTCCGTGGGACTCCCGAAGTCTGCAGCTTCTACCCCTGGATGGCTGGTGGACAAGGGGGCTTGAATACACCAGCAATCTTGAGAATAAAAGAGGCTTTGTGGTCAGCTTATCTGATTGGAAGGTCAGACTATGAGATCAAGACTCCACAGCCTGGTGAAGTGTAAATCAAAGGGGACAGCTGGTGGCCTGAACTCTGAAGAGTTGATTCTTTGACTCAGTCCCTACCCTGGCGGACCTTCCCTCTTGCTGATGAGCCACAGGGTAAATGGAGGGAGAAGTGCAAACTCAAAGCCCATCAATCCTACGCTAGAAGTAGAACAGAACAAAGCCACACACAAAGGTCTGTCGAGTCAGCAGACTTGGGCTCCTGCCCAACCTGCGTCTATAAGTGATGAGACTGATTCCCACGTTTAACTTACGGCAAGGTCCCTGTCACTGATGCTCACGACATGTATTCATAACGTCTTTTTCTGGGACACATGAGTAGTAGCAAAGGCTGTCCTCTGTGGCTTGACCACAAATTGCAGACTGTGAGTACCTCAGAACATCTCTGATCCTCTCCAGCTAGTTCTTGAAATTCCCAGGGAGTAACATATGTATGTTCCTAAGATTCCTCCAGCTCCCAGAAACAGACTTGAGGACCTGAAGTGGCAACAGTGACCAGCCCTTACATTTTTCAAGGGCTCTTTGTCTGGGTCCCTTAGGTCACTGATAAAGGCAGCCACATTTTCAGGGCACTGTTAGGATGTGCCTTAGCACTCCCTATGCGTGGCTGCTCCCCCAACCCAGGCTCTCAGCAAGCTGTCAGTACAGGTGGCTGGACTTGGCTGAGGCAGGGGAAGCAGGCTGGGCCTCACCAGTTCTTACAGGCTGTCTTCTCTGGGCTCATCTTTGACGTTCTTTCTCAAGTGTATTAGGGTCTGGTCAGGCATTCAGTGGTGTGAGTGGCCATCTTACCTCTCACATTGTCCAAAAGTGACAAAGACCATGTTCTGTGGCTTCAGTCTGTGCACCCTTACCTGTGGGTGACTCCCTCCACCTAGCCCATTCATTCCTCAGGCAATTGAACTTCACAGTGAGCCCACCCTGTTGGCCTCTCCCATCCCCTAGTCATGCTCAACACAAATGACTTCATCATGGACACACAGGAGCTTGGTTTCACAGGTGAAAGACTTTGAATAATTACTTTTTATAATAATTTTATCTGGAATGGATTAGTACTTTTTCAAATTGATGTGTTTCCAAGGAAGGAAGACCCTGGATAGAGTTTTCCAGGAAGAAAACCCTTGTGGGGTAGAGACAGGTAGCTGAGGTTGGAGATGATAGATAAAGCAGAGGCACTGCTCAGGCCTCTAAACCCTTCTAGAACAATGTGTCATAGTGCACAACCTCTTCCCTCTATCCGCCACTGTTAATGTCCCCAGAGGCAAGCCAACCCCATCTCATTCTGCACATCTAGACTTCTGTTTCGTTCCCTGAGCTATGCCCTTCTCCAATAACTTTGCAAAATGCAGACTTGAAAAATGATTCCATCATGCATATAATTTCTCTAAACACAACAGAGGGTACTAATGAGCAGGATCAGACATTGACCACCTGAAAGTGGACAGTTTGCCCAGGAACCTTGCAATCTTCTTTACCTTGTCTACCCCACCCCTTCTTTACATTTCTTTCTGCTTCACTTTGAGCCCCCAACTGAACTTAGCTTTACTGTGCCCTCTGATGAAGTGGGACCTGTCTAGTGGATCTTCATTAAACCTGCCCAATGACCTTCTCACACTCTAATGACATGGGTAGACTGGCTCTGGTAGGTGAGTAGATATTTGCTTGGAAGTTGGCAAAGGAGGAGGAAAAAGGAAATGCAGTGGCATTTTCTAGAAGATTCTGTCCTTTGTGGTTGTAATTTTGAGGAGAAACTGGAAAAGCTCTTCCTAGACCACATGTGAATGCTGACCAAATACTAAAGTATCAAACACTAAGAACTCAAGTGACCTCCTGTTTTGGTGTGCTCTCCCTAAAGGGACCATTTCTACTTTGTAGAACAATGTGCCCATAAATAAAGATAGAACAGAGCAAAAGTCTCTACTCACTCCAGGCCCCTGATCCCCTGCCTCCTGGTAATGCATCTTAATTATCACCATCTGGAGAGAAGTTTCCTTTCTTGTTTGCCTAATCAGGAGATCTGGCAGCTGGAATTCCAGATTGGAATCCTGCAGTGTGGAATGGCAGAGGTATTTGGAAATAGGGTGGTAGTAGTGTCTCTTGAATTATTCTAAAGAGGTCATTCTCACTCTTTCTATGCTTTGTACATCACTATTCCCAGTTTTTCTAGAAATATTTATGAGAACTGAATCCCATACCTAAATGATCCCTCACAACACTGCCTTCCCCTCCCCCAAACCGGGGGCCTATTGATCCCTACACCATCAGACTTGGTTAGTCTCCAAAGCAACCTTGGATTGCTTAAGCAATTTTAAACCCCAAACCTACAAACCTGCAGCTTAGGATTTGATGAGTGAGCAATGACCCCAATTCCTGGCTGCTGTTTTACACCCTGAAATGCTGTTATTACCATGTGACTGGGGTAGCGTCACATGGTATCCACGGAGCTATCCACAGAGGTCTTACATCCATAATAATAGCTGCCGTCTACAGAATATATTAAAGGGAAATCCTTCAACCCTTACAAGAAGCACTTTTACCATCTTCGTAAGACCCGAAATTTAATTTCATAACTTCCTGAAGTGAATGTCAGTCTGGAAGAAAGACAAGCATTCTGGAATTACACTGGGGTAGATTATGATTCTGCCTCAGGAATTATGCTTGGAGCCACAGTGTGGGCTTCAGCCTCAATACCTTTTTTGAACTTCTACCTTGTCATCTATACGGTTCCATTTTTTCTATTTTTGGAAGCCAAATGCGCCCAGTGGCCCTAGGTACCAGGTGCAGCTTGCCTGGCCTTCCACACGTCATTTGCTGCACGGTCCTATCGCAGTGCTTTCCTTCTCTGGGGATACCTGACTGCTGAAGGCAGCCCCCTGACAACATCTCTGAGCCTTTACTCTTGGAAGCTTCCCTTGGATAAAGAAGAGAAGGAATCTCATAATATTTCTTGTTTTCTTCCTGGAACCTCCACTGTCAGTCCTACCTCTGACTGTGCTCCCTGCTCTGGGCAAGTCAAGGACTAGTTCCTGACCCCATTCTCCCTCATCTTTCTCAAAAATCAGGGCCAAACCTTATGACTCCAAAGGTCAACTCCAAGCATTTGTCATTCTGGAAGCTATTTATCATTAAAATTTCACAGTTTGGGTAGAAATTAAACTATACTATATAAAGAGGGAGGCTGAAAGTCCATTCTTGCTATTTAATATGCAATGTACAGAGATGGCAAATGACAGCAGGGAGGCCAGGGGCACATAGCATTTTTGTTTAAGGACACAATTTTGGCTACTAACCATATCCTAAAGGAGTGCTGTGAGCCGTGCCATGCTCCTCATGGTTCTTTGTGAAAATCATAAGCAGACCATGGGCATAGAAGGCCTGTATGTCAATGGCTCTGCTATCCATGTTAGTGTGGTGTAGGTGGGCAACTTCTCTCTGCCACACTGGGGGGCTGCAACATGTGCCCTTGATGACTTTCCATAACACCCACACATACATACATGTACATACCATTCACATATACCATTCACACCCAGCAAACACATGCGCACACGCATATATGTATGACACACACCAAGCACACCACAGACACATCACATATATACACACATACTGCACACATGGGCACACACATCATATACACACAACCCCACCCACATCACACACACACATACACCATATTCATACCACAACCATGTAGACACAACACAAAATCCTACACCACATATACACACCAAATCCATGTATACTATGTGCACATACACACACTTTCCCCCTAGTTCATGATTCTTAATTCTCCTCTCTCACCTCTCCTGGCTGAAAAACAGAAAACAGAATCATTGCTGAAATAGAAAAATTTGGTCCCTTTGGGAGCTATTACAACGGTGCTTCAAGGATAGTGGCAAGTGCTACAGCAGATATTCCTCTAGTGGAGCCCAGGGAAGCTTCTGAAGCAATCCCAGAACTCCTTTACAGTCTGCTTGAGCAAATTCCCACACTTGTACAGTATTTGGTCCATAATCCCTGAATGTCAAAGCCAACACAACTCCCCAGTATATGTGCTGAGATATTATCTGGATTGACACTGAGTGAATTCATGACATCAACCAGTGGGTTCCCTCAAGAATTCCTCTTCAGACCTGATATCCTTGGGATAATGTACTCATTCATTGGACAACTACTAACTGATTTCCAATGTCAGGACATTTAGGGAGACGCACATCAGTGACTCAGACAGCCTCAGTCCTCAGGGACCAATCTTCCAGTTCTCTGGGTGCTGGGGAAGATGCAGTTGGTAGCCTATTTGGGCCACCTAAGCATCCATTGCCACCCCAGAAAAGGTTTGTGCTGCAAGTACACGCAGCTTTTTGCTGGAGAAATTTTATTTTTTTTCTGGTCAAGTGTGGTTGGTCTGAATGTCAAACAAAATGGAAATGTCCCAGATTGTTTTCCCTGGAAGCAACCCTCAGATAAATAACAAAAAAAGGCCCTGGAGAATAAATACCCTAGGTCAATATCCTTGACTTTGTTTGGGATAACTGTGTTTAACATTGTGTTCCAATGGGATTGAGCTCTCGTTCCTCATAGCAGTTAAGTGAAGTGATAACAAATCTTTGATTGATTTTTCCCTCCTTGCCTTACCAACTGTGCCCTCTATTGGTGATTTCTGGGATCACCTCTCAACTAAACTACTCACACTTGAATTTCAGAATCAGCTTCAGAGGAACCCCTA